AGATAAGGGACCCGGCGAAGAACGGCGCGAGGGTTTGGCTCGGGACGTACGAGACGGCTGAGGAGGCTGCTTCGGCTTACGACCGGGCGGCTTACAGGATGCGCGGCTCGAAGGCGCTGCTGAACTTCCCGCACAGGATCGGGCTCAACGAGCCGGAGCCAGTCAGGGTGACGGCCAAGCGGAGGTCGTCGCCGGAGATGTCCGGGTCGGACAGCGGGTCGCCCAAGCGGAGGAAGAAGGAGGCTGCGGCCGAGCCGGAGGTCGGGAGCCAGCCTCGGGTGTTCCAGGTGACAACGACGTCGTTGCCAGCTGGAGGGACACTAGTGGTGGCGTGAGCGTTAGCTGGGAGAATTTGGTTATGGCGTGTTTGGTTTGTGGATATTAAAAATATTAGATATTTTGGGCCCAATGGTATGTAGTGGGCTGAATGTGGAAAAAGGGTGCTTTGGTGGATAGAAAATATAAAAAAAGGTTTGGTAGAATTTCATTATCCCACTGTTTTTTTTTTTTATATATATTGGACTCGAAAGGAATCTATGAGATCAATTTTTGTGATTATATATGAAAATCCAATTTTCGTAACAATGTTAAAGTCCAACAATGACAATCTACCTTAAGCTTATTGCAACTGTTAATAAATGTTTGGACAATTTTTCTACGAAGTTAATAGTTGACTCCACCATCTATATACAACAAATAAACCAATAGTTTTCATATGAAGTCAACAATTAGCTTCATAGTTGAGCATATCTTCTATATACAACAAGTAAACTATACCATATTCTGCTATGAAGCCGGTTCAATAGTGGAGTCAACCTACTATATACAGCAAGTAAACCATACCATATTCTGATATGAAGCCAACATTTGGCTCCGTAGTAGAGTCAACCTTCTATAAACAACAAGAATCTATAGTGGAGTCAACCTTCTATATACAACAAGTAAATCATACCATATTCTCTAATAACTTAAATAATACTGATAATTTTATTAATATGATATGGTTTACTTAGTATATATAGAAGGTTGACTCCACTATGGATCCCAACTGTTGACTTCATAGCAAAACTGTGAACATGTAATAGGACCGAAATTGTTCGTATTTAAATTAATAAATAGAAAGAATTTCAATTTTAAAAGAGGATTTAAGATAAATAATAACTTCAGAAATATTTTACAATTGAAACCACCTGCAGAATGATTTTATCCAATGCAATGTAAAAATTTTAATATTTTTATTAATTATAGATTTGAAATTCTAAAGTTCTTATCCTACATTCAAATGAAATCTAAAAATTTTAATTTTCTTGTTTGGCTAAGAGAATTGGTTCAATAGTTATGACTTTTATAATTGTATTATTCATGAGTTACTTCAGAAACTTGACCAATGGATGTCAGCTTAGATATTTGTTTATCCAAAGCTGATATATCATTTCTGAAAAAAAAAATAAAAAATTATTGGTTTTGACTGAAATTCCAAATCGTTATTTCTAGTAAATTATTTCATGACCAAATGCTAATGAGAACCCGATTTAAAAATAATTTAGTAGTTGTTTGTGATGTATATTTGTTGCTTGTTCAATGTAACTACGTGATAATATATTTAGTTACCAGCTTGTATGTATTTTAAATTTTAAATTATCTAAACATATGTGTATCTTCCATTAGTTATATAGTTATAATATTACGGAGTAGTATTATTGTATTATATATAGGCTAGATTTAGGTCAACCTAAGGTTAAGATCCATTTTATGTCTTCACATATATGTACATATGTCTTTGTGAAGAGACAACACAGTATTTTTTTCACAATTCTCACATAGTATCAAAGCTAAAGTTGGGGTCAAATAACATAGCCTAAATTTTGCGCGCTCGTCCACGATCCAACCACTGTCGGCTCTCACCACCCCAGCCATCCTCTCCAACAAAATAGATGAGCTGAGCATAAACACAATCACATTCTTGATATTGTTACTAGTCTTCTCCTTTCTGCTAAGTGTCTTGACATTGTAAATATGTCCAATAATTCGGGTAGATGACAGTTTTACCTGATAACATTTACGGCTTTAGAAAATATTCACTGAATATCACATGGTGAATATGTTACATAAACACGTGTTATTGGTTAATTTTTGCTCTTTTTTTACATCAGTTGGTAGATAATTTTCGTATTTTATGACATATTTTCTCGATGTTTATTAGATATTTTTTTTTTTTGGAATTGCAAAAATTGCTGTGCAAATTAGCAATTGACCCAACTTTTGAGCATATTTTTAACTTTGCCAATATATTTAATGTACCTACATACTGATTTTATAAAAAACTTATATCTATATTTCTAGAAGCAGATGGGCAAAGGATGAAAAAGAGCTAGAAAAACATATATTCATAAAAAAATTCAAACCTTAGACCCAAATGTGTATAAGTGATTGCAAAAACAATTGTGTATACTTCACTCCATAAATAGGTTGATGTTGACCAACAACAGTCAACATATGTGAAATATATATTGCAATCGTAAAAATGTCATAAATACATAATAAAATATATAGAGGTGTACATAACACTCACATAGAGTGAAATCCATTTAATTTTTTGTTTTTAATATGTTTAATTAAATGTTAATATTATATACACTTCTATATACAATATTTTGTACCGTTAAATTGATTGCTTATTAAAAATATGTACACGTACAAGTGACTAATTTAAAATATTAGTTATTATTTACAAGTCAATAGTCCCCTTTCACATTGCGGGAAATATTCCAAGTGTTTGGAAAACGGCTGTTGAACGTCGTTTTTCCCTTGCTTAGACTTTTTTATCAACAGAGTAATGTTGCAGGCAGCTAAGTGATCTTTTTCTATTTATTTACTACATTGACTTCTTCATAATTATTGTCAAAAGTCCATATTTCTTTCAAAAAAAAAATATATATGTTGGACATAAATTATAGAGCCATCTATTACTTTATGTATTGACACTTATTCTATGTGTATTTATTGCAAGACACGTGTCAATACACTATTTGTGAATAATTATGGATGACTCCATAAATCGAGCCATCTGATGACTCCATAACAAAACTGGTTAAATCGTGGAACATTACTAATAATAGGAAAATGCTACGGTGGTTCCCTATCCTAATTCCTATACAAACTACATGCAGATCCAACAGTTAAAACTCACGATAACATTTCCCACTACTATATATACATGTGATAGCGAATTATAATAATTGATATGATTTGTATAAATATATTCCCCTGCCCACGGTGGGCAGGTGAGCGGGCCTGATGATTTGTATTAACAGTTTGCAGAGAGTTGTTTTTTGATAAAGATTGATTTGTATAGCCATTATGAAATTTTTTGTTGTAAGAAATAGGAGAAAACAGGTGCGGTCCCACTAACATGAAGGAGGAGTAGCCCATTAGACTTATAAGGTGGGTCTATTTTCCATGTATGAACGATGTGGGACAACTCACAAGTGATATTCTAACACGCCCCCTCACTTGTGAGTCATTTGGAAGCCCAAGCCCAACTGGGTGCCCCAAGCCTACTAGAAGTAGACTCCCATAAACGAGTACGTGGGGAAGCAGACTCCCATAAACGGATGCGAGAAGACCAAGCCCAACTGGAGTAGACTCCCATAAACGGGTACGTGGGGAAGCAGACTCCCATAAACGGGTACGTCATTGCACGGTCCCAATAGAACCGGCTCTGATACCATGTAAGAAATAGGGAAAACGGGTGCGGTCCCACTAACATGAAGCGCACCATAAGGGGGGAAAAGCCCATATGAAGCCCAAGTGGGGTTCCATCCCAAAACCAATTGGTGAAAGGAGAAGTAGCCCATTAGACTTATAAGGTGGGTCTATTTTCCATGTATGAACGATGTGGGATAACTCACAAGTGATATTCTAACACGCCCCCTCACTTGTGAGTCCTTCGGAAGCCCAAGCCCAACTGGGTGCCCCAAGCCTACTAGAAGTAGACTCCCATAAACGAGTACGTGGGGAAGCAGACTCCCATAAACGGATGCGAGAAGCCCAAGCCCAACTGGGTGCCCCAAGCCTACTAGAAGTAGACTCCCATAAACGGGTACGTGGGGAAGTAGACTCCCATAAACGGGTGCGAGAAGTCCAAGCCTACTAGAAGTAGACTCCCATAAACGGGTACGTGGGGAAGCAGACTCCCATAAACGGGTACGTCATTGCACGGTCCCAATATAACCGGCTCTGATACCATGTAAGAAATAGGGGAAAACGGGTGCGGTCCCACTAACATGAAGCGCGCCATAAGGGGGGAAAAGCCCATATGAAGCCCAAGTGGGGTTCCATCCCAAAACCAATTGGTGAAAGGAGAAGTAGCCCATTAGACTTATAAGGTGAGTCTATTTTCCATGTATGAACGATGTGAGACAACTCACAAGTGATATTCTAACATTTGTGACATGTTGAAATATTTACGTGACGTGTTACTTTACAAATTTTGACGATCCACATCCACTAATATTTTGACGATCCTCTAAAACTGGGTTTCTACACGAGATCAGAACTGTCATCATCTGTGGGTTGGAAGCTGGAAGGTCCGTTATGAATCATCTCCCTTTGGGCCTTTAGACTAAGGGAAGCCCAACAATCTAATCAAGCTTTGTTTCGTTATTTGAAACCCAGCCCACAGTATTTTGTCGTAAAAGCAGTAAAATGTTTGAGCGAAGGCCCCAGAGATTAAGGAAAGGGCCCAGCATTGTCAACAACTTGAAAGGCCCATTCTTATTATTAGACCTCTATTTGGTTGTTTGGATTTTAAATTTTTACCTTGGAAATGTATGCTATAATATGTCTGGTATCGTTCTTCCTTCATCTCTATGCAGAGAGAACATAAATTCCAAAGAAATTTAGGGAGATATTACGATCCCGATACAAAACTCTTCCGTCGTGGTTTACAACCGTTGATCAACTATTCTCGACGATTACATGATTATCCAACAGTTACAAATCCGACGGAATGGTCTTATAACGAGACCGTAACATTTCCTATAGCAAACAAATTCATTTTGACATCAAAAGAACACGTTCTTATATTTACAGGTAAAAAACCAGAACACGTAGTAGAAACCCTGCTACCATGAAAAAAAGGCCTAAATCAAACAATCTAACATATGAAAAGTGACATCTATGCCCAATCGAAATTATCCAATATACAAAAGTCCTCCTCAGTCAACTCCCCGAAATCGATCGAATCGGGACTCAACTCAGGCAAATCCGCCATGCTCCATGTCCGTAGCATCATCAAACGGCAAAACAATATCCGTATTATTCTCATTCACGTCGCTACTCATCCTCGACTTCCCGTGCCAAGCACCGTCATAACCAAACGGTACAACAATAGCCGCCGCATTATTCTCATCCACTTC